CCACAAATGTTTTTGTTCAACCTTTATGATGATTGGTTAAAGGTGAAAATTTTTACATACTTTTTTAAAATTTTTTAAGTTAAACTTAAATTTTAATTAGAATTTAAATTTTTAAATTTTTAAATACAGATGGATGAGATTCACTGTGTGAGAGATTATCGACATGATAAAGCGCTGGCTAAACGAGGGGAATGAAATAATGGGGCAGAAACGTGGTAATCTCTGGTACCACTCCCTGCCATGACCCAGTTGTAGCTCGAAATACATCAGCAGGCTTCTTGAAAATTCCTTGATTCATTTTGAGGTTTCCTCTCTTTCTCATTGTTTTTGCGCTGTCTCTGATTTCTCTTTTGCATATCTGTCTTGCAAATTAGCCACATGACTGTTCAGAACATGGTGGACAGGAGGCTGTACTGATTATTCCCGTTTCTACCCATAGGCGGAACCAGGGTGGTCTCTTAGGGTGGGGGAGAGGGGCGGGTGGGAGGAAGACAGAGGATACCGAGCGAGCACACTTTTGTACGGTAAAACAACTAATAACTAATCTCTTGGGGCGGAGGGAGAAAGGGGATCAACGAAAGGCCTCTCGTCTTCCCCTGGATTCGCCAATGCTCCTACCCGCACGCATTGCTCGGTCTGTGTTTACAGCTAAGGGATGAAGTAGAGACTACATCGTAAAGTGTCGTTCAACACATGACACTTAAGACCAATCCTTTTATTCTTGTATTTCATCAAAGAACTTCAAACTTCAGACATCGTTAAAAAAAAGTTGAAAAATCCCTTAATTTCCCAGAAAATCAGTGGTTTTATTCTTTAAAAGTCCTATAATACTAGCTGTTGTATTGTTAAGGCACCCGCGTAGCACTGTACAGCTTTTAAAGAAAATTTACAGAAGCTAGAAGGCTGAAATTTTGTGGGCATGTTCCCCGCCCATGTGCTAACCAGAAAATTTAAATTCAGCTTTCCGCTGCCCGCGGGTAATCATGTATGGCCCCAGCGTTTTGGCTTTTGAATTCCATGCCTGGCTGGGCAAGAATACTTCATGGGAATTGTTGTTAGCAGTTTGATAATCAGAATTCTGTACTTGGATTAAGTCAGCATTGATTGACTTGATCATATTACCAGCTGTGTTTTAGACAATTTCAAGTTATACGGCATTTTCGCGTGTGATTTTGATAATGCGTGGCATGCACATTAATCCGGACAAGACGAAAGTTATCTTGAAACCGGACAAAACGACAATCACAGAACCCCATCATATTTGGCCTTCACTGTCTGATGAAGATTGGATTAAAGTTTGTGTTTTTGCTTTTTTTTAAAATTTTTTAATAAAGTTTTTTAAAGTTAATTAAAGTCATTAATTGAAAAGTTCAAAATTATAATTAAATTAAAATTAAATTAAAAAATAAAAAAATTTAAAAAATTAATTAAAATTAAAATTTTTTAAAAGTTATGCCTGGTATTGCGCAATACTGCGTATTTTTATGGACCGTTTTTCTTCGGGTTTGTTTGCGGTGATACGCATGAGTGTTAATTCAGGTTGAATTGGCCCTCAAGGATATGATTTTGGCTGATTACGGTAAGAAAAATAACGTAAACGTAGCATCGTTGACGCAGAGTGAGGTACGCGATATCATTCTTGGTATGGAAATCAGTGCACCGTCGGCACAGCGACAGCAAATTGCTGATATCGAAAAGCAAACGAAGGAGCAAAGCCAAGTGAGTGCTTCACATTTTTTCACAGCTTTTTCCACAGTAAAATTTTTACAGTAAAATTTTTTCACAGTAAATTTTTTCATAGTTTTCTAAAAATTTTTTCACAGTAAAATTTTCACAACAAATATGCATTGTGTCTATTATGGCAAGCAGAATAAGAAATTCACTTCAAATAATAGATAAAATTTTTAGAAAAAAAACTTATTTTTTATGCAAGTATTTCTTATGTAATGATAAACAGCTGTTTGATTTTAAGCTTTCTGTTAAATTTTAAAGCAGCCTTTTTTCCATGTTAATGAACCTGAGCACGATGATTGTCCTAAACACTAGCAACACATCTTACGGCTGTTGTTTCTGTGACTAAAACCTTGGCATCCTGGCAACCGTCTCCGCATTCTTACAGGGGAAATTTTAAATTTGGTGTAGCTGCTGCTGCTGCCTGTGCATTTCCCCAGTTCCGTTGTTTTTGGGTCCCTCCAAAATTACGAACTTCCCTGGGTACCGCACGAAATTGTGACCTGGGTATCTCCCTGGGTACACAGAGCTCGGGGAGTTATCCGCGAACACACAGTAGAAGATAACTTTGTAATCTGTTTCTGATATAGTTGTTACTTCGTATGGAAAAGTCAAATTTTTGAAATTTATAGAAAATTGAAATTTTAAAAACACCCCGAAGTGCTAAATGTTGCTGCGTTTTTCCTGTTTTAACGTTCTTTTTTTCTTCAGGTCACAGCGACAACAACACGAACGGTCAATAAGCACGGTGACGAAATCATCTCGGCAACGACCAGTAATTATGAGGTTTTGCATTTTCTCATACTATGATGAGCATTCTGTTTTGAACAGAGAGGG